CAAACCCAAACCCGCACTCACCAAAATCAAACAGTTTGGGTTTAGGTCATGTCTATTCTTAATAAACAATTCTGTACCAGCGATAGTGATACATTTTATGGCAAGGTTTTATTTCGCACGTTGAAGATAAATTAGTTATCTCTATTCATCTTAATAATTTTTTATGATTTCTGGAAGCGAGATAAATTTATGTTTTTTTCTTGTTGTTGAAATAGAAATAAATTTTAGTACCTACCAAATCAATATTATGTAGTGAATAATGATAGTATTCCGATAAGATTTATATTAATTTAGACATGATACTTGTTTCAGTTCATTGGATCGATGCGGATAAAAAACAATGAATATATAAGAACAAACACAAAAAAAATATCAAGGAGTATTTTAAATAAAGCCTGACTATTTCAATAATAGGAACAAGAAAAGAAAGTAAGATGCACAAATGAAAATGAAAATTTATGATGATGATGATGGTGATGTTCGTATATCAACAAAATAATGATGTGTATTTGATTTGATCGGTATAGTTGTCGAATTAATTTTATCAATAATTGCTAATGTTATATTTCCCAATGAATAAAATCCTGGTTTAAAAAAACATGCACGTAAATTTAATGATAACTGTTCATTTGCTGATAAATTCATAAATTGTTCTGTCATACCAGACCATAAACAACATGATGTGAAATATGGATCATTATCATATGTTGATCTAGGGAATGAAAGAAGATTTTTTTGTTTATCAACAAAAATAATCTTACCTAGTTAATTGTAATTGTAATTGTATTTGTTCATTTGTTCGATTAAATAATTTTAATTGAACTGGTAAAAATAATGTTTTCGTAAATTTATGTTCAATTATTGGAGGATAAATTAATTCATATTGTATTGTATCATTTACTTCTTGTTCTTGATTAGGAATATCAATAGATGGTGAAAGCATATGTAAACCATGACGAATTTCAATTTGACCTAATTGATTTGCAGTAGCAATTTGCCAAAGAAGCACAAGCGATACTGGAGGAATTGTTGTTGTTGGAGAATTTATAGATTTTTGACGATGTGTTGATTGTATAGGGTCAATATTTGAAATAAAATGACAAAAAAAATCATTGATTGGATTTTGACTAATATCAATCTAAATAAATTTGATAAATGTTAATTCTTCTGTTATGAAATTTTGTTACTAATTGTACGCTTGACTAATCAATAGAGTTTAACTAAATCTCAAGAAGGTATTCTACCTCAATCTAACACTTTCTGATTGACAGGGTTTTAATTATACTCGCTCGAATGATCTTTATTTAAAAAGACAAGAGAACTAATGCGGAATTTTCTTTGAAAAACAAAATAATTTACATATTTATCTTTCATTGTTTCATCATTTGATAGATAAATATGTTTCATTTGTAAGGAATCATTATCATTTTGTTTGTGTGTACATTTAAATAGAAGAGATAAACTTTCACCATAACGAATAGAATCTAAAGATTAAAAAATTTTAATAAAAAACCAACTTGAAACAAAAAAATGTTAATTTTACTCTTTGATACAGGTGAAAGATTTTGAATGTTCCATTGTTTACTAATACAGGAAAGTTGTTGAACGTCAATATTTAAATTATTTGGTGTCTGAATAAACAAAAAAATAATAAAATTAAAAAAATGAAAAGAGAAATTCTCATACAGCCATTAAATTATCGATTTGAACAGGTACAACAAGTTCACCAAGTCCTGATGATTGTGATTGTGTATTGAAACCAATGGAATGTGTAATTATAAATAATGATGAATGTTTTATCGTTCGATGTCTAAACAAAATATTTCGATCCTTATTCAATTATAGAAGATAGAATTTTTTTCTCTAACAAGGGAACCTCCTGAGGTATCTAAGAGCTTTTGAGCCGAAATTTTGTCCACAGGTTGGGGATACATAGACTAGGAAAAGCCTAAAAGGATATGCACCCAAGTTGATGTTTCACTGAGATATCGACTATTTATTGTATTTATCCTATAGGACCCTATCTGTGCGGTAAAATCAAAGTTTCAAATTTAGGCCAGAAACTTTGTCCACACTAAGACCTCAATCAAACAAACTTACTTACAAAGTTTCAGAAAGACAGTCTCCGAGATACAAGTATGTTAGCATAGAGACGCTTTTTTATGAATACTGAGTGTCACATGAATATTTTGACGGATTCATACCTCGGAGATAATCTGTCAAAAATTTCTGAAACTATGGAAGCAAGCTTGTTTGACTGAGGTATTAGTGTGGACAAAGTTTCAGGCCTAAATTTTAAACTTTGATTTTACCGTACAGATAGGGTCCTATTGGATAAATACAATAAATAGTCGATATCTCAGTGAAACATCAACTTGGGCTCATATCCTTTTAGGCTTTTCCTAATCTATGTATCCCCAACCTATGGGCAAAATTTCGGCTCAAAAGTTTTTTGATACCTCGGAAGGTTCTTCGTAAGTTGATAAACAATATAATTAACTTTCAAGTATTATTCTATTCTTAAATTAAAATAATAACCTTAATGGTTGTTGAAAAACATCGGATTCATAAAGAAATAGAAAATCAACATTCATTTCACCAGCTAAGTGTGATGCATGTAACCATAAACGTATTGTTCGAGTTGAATTAGCTAATAAAGGTTGTTGAGGATTAACAAGAGTTAATATTGATGATTGCTGCTGTAATGAATGATTCCATATAGATTGAGATTGATTTGTATATGCTAATAAAGAATCATTATCTGATGGAGATATTGTTATTAAATTCGGTTGACTTGTTGCTAATCGAATACGATTAATTGAATGTGTTGAACTTTTATTAATTAAATGAATTAAACAAGATTGAAT